ATTAATGGTAAATAATTAGATCAAAATAATTTATTTCATTAAAAAATAATCATTCAGTTCTCCTCTTAAAAGATTCTTAAACTTCTGAATAAATTTCAAAGTTTTAAAGTTGCGAAAGCTCTTATAAATAATGTGTTTTAAGTTTTTAAGCAAGAGAAATAATGAAATACTCCTTGAGCTAGTTCAACATTAGCTAGGAAGCAGCAATAATGACTAAAATATTTATGTACAAATATTTAAATTCAAATTAAGAAATAATTCCTCAAAACATTTTTTTGAAATGAATTATCATAATATATATATAATCATTACAAAAATAAAAATATAATGTTAAATAAGTGGATATTTTATATTGCAACAAATAACTTTCATTTCAAAACACGGCTAGAATGGCTATTTTAAGATAGGTGATCTATTTTTAAAGAGTGAAACTAATCAAGTTATAAATAAAAATTTTATTTTTAGTGCTATAAGTTAATTATAAAATACAATAAAAAGGCGAGTGAATTATGGCTACACATATAAAGGAATAATTTATATCTTAACTTATTAAATTAAACCTATTCAAAATGTTTTGAATTAAAATCTATAAGATTTAGCTATTTTATTTGGGATTAAACTGATCTATACAAACAAAATATTGAATTATGAGTAATATCGTAATAAAAAGATTGTGTAATAAATATGAACATAATATCATAATAAAAAGATAGTTACACTTTAATAGGTTTTCATCACAAGCATGCCGAAAAAGCTCTTCATAAGTGGAATATCCTTTCTCAAAATACTTCCAATTTCTACTAAATTTTCAAAACTGTACACATTCAAGTACTGATTATCGTTGTCATATTATATACTAGCTGAATGCCCATCTTCGTACGGGGGGGGGGGAATAAACATCAATAAATCAGTACTAGCATTTCAAAATCGTTCAAGTTTTAAGGACAAAATCTAAAACAAATAATAAAACTGAAACTTTTTAATTTATTTATTATTATTATTTGCCCTTCTCGGTGACTTTACGTTATTAGATAAAGTAGTTTATCCTGTCAAAATAAAGATTAACTGCCTTCAATATCATCTGGCACAATGTTTCTCTTACGCTTACATCTTCAAGGGACCGAAAAAATTTTTTTATTAAAATGTACAGTATTTGTGCAACTGTAATCGGCTACAAATTTACAACTTTTAAAAAATCGAAACTTTGTACTCACATAAGAATATATTTGGTACCTATTAAAACTGTACCACATGTCATGATGTCAGTAGTGCCTATTACCAAACTTAAGCATCATAGGTGACAATAATAGTATTGCGACTTTTTACTGTTCCTCGTAACGAATAAGTACATTTTCCTCATCAATTTTTTGCTTTTAGTTCAAAGCTTTTTTTTTACTACAATAAGTAACTGTTAGAGCCGCGATGGCTCAGGTGATAGAGCGATTGCCTTCCAATGAGGCGAACCGGGTTCGAATCCCAGTCGATACGAATTCCGCATTCGGCTTGCACTGATCACAGTGCTGACGTGAAATATCCTCAGTGGTAGACGGATCACGGGTTAGAGTCCCCTTGCCGTCAAGCTAACCGTGGGAGGTTCTCGTGGTTTTCCTCTCCATGTAACGCAAATGCGGGTTGGCTCCATCAAGAAAGTCCTCCATGCATGCAAATTTCTCCCAATACTTGAACCAGGAGCTCCCTTGTCTTCTGGATTGGGTTCAAAATTACAAGGCTACGGAGTAGAATATTAGTAGTCGTAGGCCTATAAAATTGGGTCGGCTGTTCAACGATGGTTATAAAAAAAATAATAAGTACCTATCACCGAAATTATAATTCCAACTATGTCTTATTCTTTACTTTATTATTATTATTATTATTATTATTAATGAGGCAGTTAATAAAAGTAACTAGTAAAATATTAAAGAATCAAATCCTCACTTTCAACTGTCTTGATTTTGTGTTTTGAGAGTAAAAAAAGCATGATACATTGTTTACCCTTTTAAGAAAGTTCTTGTTAAAAAGCAATGACCCTTTTTGTATTAAAAAAAATTATAAAAAGTGTTAAGAAAATAAAAGAGCAGGAAAGTATTGAAGAAAATACAATCACGCTCAATTGCTCACAAAGCAATAACATCTAGCCACCATTTCGTTGTTATGGTCGTTGCTTGTAAGGCGTAAAAACATCTCGTTTCTGTAAAATCTGATTCTTTTTTCAGATTAAAATCTTTCGTTTATGCTCATTCAGTGTGGAAATGTTTAAAATTCATCGATAATTCGATGTAACAAATATTCAACTGAAAATAGTTATCTATTTACTTAGTAAACATCGACTAACCTAAATAATATTAAGCAAATATATGCCTACACTTGAGATTTTTGTTCCAAATAAGAAAATTTGTGTCACATTCTTTCCGCTGGAGGTTGCTAAAAATCGTATTTTTTATTACTAGAAAAACATAAATGTTATTTTCGTGTAATTTGTTAAATCTTATAACGCTCTATTGGAGTATGATTCTATCGATAGAACTATTGTGTATTCTTTCTCCAGAATTCGAACCCTAGCTTACGCTCTTATTGTGACACCCGTTACAGCGTCTTGTTATCTTTAAAAGATTAAACGTTATTTTCACATGCATTACAAGATTCAATATGAATTGCTTATTCTATTACGGCTATCAAAATTTAGTTAAATTATTTTTATTCCTTGAAAAAAAATCTTTGAAAATTACTCTAAAACGAAAATGCGTCTATTGATAATGAGACAATTGGTAATGAGTGTGTCTATTGATAATGAGTTTCAAAGAAATTGTTTCAACCACTTTTTTTTCTGGTGTTTCCTTAAGGGCTCATAAATTGTGATGCACATCAAATTATTTTTGAATAAAAGGAAGATACACGACCCACTAATTCCTAATCTTAGGTGATAATGAGAGTGACCTTAGGTCAAAAAGTTGGTGAAATAAGGATTCATTTGCATAAATCATAAAGATACTTAAACAAGTCATATATCATTTCGTATCATTTCATATTTCGTAATCATTTCATATGATTTTGTAATCATATGATATGTCTTGTATTTATTAAATCTGAGTAAATATTTGTGATATCTCATTATACTCATGATGTAGCAAAGATTAGAAATTTGAGCATGAGTTCAAGCCTATCACGTTTTAAAATGCATTATATCGTTGAGAAAAGGCTTTGTTACTTACGACTGTAATAACATATTAAATCAAAATATATTATGAAATTTTTTTCTTGCTAAAAATACTTTCATTTTGTGAGTCAGAGAGTCATTTTACGATAAAACTTCTTTTTTTTTCTTTCTTAAAAAAAACAGTTATGGTACTCTCACGGCATAAGCTTTAATCATATACAAAACAGTTAAAAAATAATAAAAGGCTCTTAAATAGGATTTCAGATTCCTCATATTTTATATCTTCATAACATTGAAATCTCACAGACATATGAACTCAAAAGCATGGTACATCATCATGTATTATTTACCTGCTTAGCACTTTTTAATTTCGCACAATTTTTACCATCGTGTTTAAATAATAAATATTACAAATATTATTCCGCACAATATTTACAAAACCACGTCTTAAAATTATTAAAACAAAACACATTTCTTCTCGTCAAATACACATCCTTTGATAAAACTTACATTTTGTTATGTTCTGCTGGTGAATTACTTTAGATTAACATTAGACATGTTTTGTAACACATATTCATAACTGTTAGGTTAAGTTTTGTCCCTCATTATTCATCTTCGTCTATGCTAATCAGGAAACGAAGCGAAATATCTATATAAAGACTGCATCATTTGGACTTATAAAAATATACAAAATTTGAGTTTATTCATAAGTCCCAATAATATTTAATCTTGGTGGAAAAATCTCGCCAAACTGGCGAATTTCTAAAAGTTAATACTACTTTTTAAACAATTAAACTATTTTTGCACTTTAAAATCTTGATAATTCTTTACAAGGTATCGTTTAAAATCAAAGCTTTGTTCCAGTTTCGGCTACTCTGACTGTTTATTATTATTATCATTTTCATTGGTGAAACTACTTTTAAAAAACTTTTAAAATAATTTAGTAACTTCAAGTTAGATGTTTCGCAAAAATACTAAATTTGTAATATTATTATATAACAAAATTATAATATTCATTACACTCGCAAAGAAATTCGTTTAACGCTGAAGTAGTACCAGTACCAAGGTTTGATAGTTATTGCATAGATTGTGAAAGATAATGTATATATTGTGAAAGATAATGTATATATTGTAAAAGATAATGTATATATTGTGAAAGATAATGTATGTATTGTGAAAGATAATTTGTCTTCCAAAACAGTTTTTTTTTTTGGGGGGNTTTTTTTTTTGAAGGGTGGGGGTTACAATAAACAAGACATAATATTCGTGTTTGATTTGATTTTAAAAAGGACTTTCGTGATCGAAATTTATTAATAATTGTAAAATTGAAAATTATTATGCTTATGAATTCTACTTCATTAAAAAATTCGATAAAAATATTTTTTCGTATCAACAAATCAGTTATAGATAATTAAAAAAAATATGTATAATTGAAATTTGATAATTTAACAACAGGTTATAAAATTTCAATGACTAAATCTAAGTAAAGATTTTATTTATTCAATTATTATTCTCTTGCATTCTCTCTTAATTTATTTATTTCTCCATACATCAAATATTTTTAAAAGAATGGACCAAAAAAAAAATAACATAAAATGAAAAAAAAAAATATTCATTTAAATAATACACTCATGCACACATAAACCAAAGTAATTTTAAAACATACCGTGTGTTATTAAATTTTTATGAAACATATTTCTCTTTTATTTAGCCAGGTGACTCTAAAATAAAATAATAAATAAAATAAAATAAAACCAGGAAATCAACAAGTCACTAAATTATTGTCTTTTTACTCACTAGATACCGCTAACAGAAATTATTCTCTTCACGAAAAAAAAGAAAGAAAAAAAAGTGCTTCCTTGGGGCTTGTAGGAAGGGAGCGCACGGCCTAAGACTCTTCCCTCTCTCCCTCCCTTCACAATCATACCTCCTCCCCCTCTTCCCCACCCATCCGGCATCACGATCGTCTCTCAGGTAAACGCGCAGGTGAGATTTAGAAGTTCGCCGTTTCCCGTTTGAAACTAAACTCAGCGTCTCCATACTCCCCTCTTCACAGCGTGTTTTGTTCTTTCTGGGGTAGCGCGCGCTACGTTCGAATAGAATAAAGAAACTGCCGACGTCGTTTTTAGGCTGAAATTCGCTCATTAGTAGGTTTATTTACCTTTTTACGGAGAAGGCATATATCAAAAAGGAATTGATAAGAAGATGTGAGGAGGTAGTTTTTTGTTGAGAAGGTAATCTTCTCTTCGTGGAAATATATTTCTTCTTTTTGAATGTGTTGTTAGCACAGTTATGTGCTGTGGTAGGGTGATTGTGTGGCCACCATGGGAAACATGTGCTGCAGAAGAGTTGGTTACTCGCCCAATGGGGCTGAGCTGGACAATAAGTAAGTCCTCTTCCGTTTGAAAATACTTTATAAATATGGAATCTGTTTTTTTATGATTTAAAATGTTATTGTTTGAGAATCTAGAAAACAAAGTTACATGTTATTTGCAAACAAAGTTTGAGACTCTAATTAAACCAAGCTAAGTTTGCTGCTTTAGGTTAAGGCGAGGAAAAATATTTTAACCATACTTGTATCAAATTTCCTATATAAANTCTATTTTTTAATTGCTACTAAATCTTCTTTTATGTAAAAATATTCTTTTTAATATGAAATCCTAGTTTTTCTTGACATTTTTCTAAAGAAAAAGGATTTTATTACACCTACGAAATCGTGAATTTTATACTTCAAGTTTCCAATTATTAATTTAAATTTATTAAGAGAGGATGAACTTTTTTTAATTCCTAAATACTTCTTGAAGTAAAAGTACAAATTAAATTGCAATAATAAATGTACAACAATTTACCAGAAAGTCTGATTTTCAAAATTGTAGCTTTAATTACCACATAGTTTGTAAAAAATACAAAACTGGAAAATAAACTTAATCGAATATTTTTTTATTTTTGCCTTGCTCTAAGGTATTATGATAAAATTACCAAATTTTTCTAGATGTAGCAAATTTCATCCCATATTATGAAACAATATTTTATTGTTAATCTTACTAAAATCATTAAAAAATCTCTTCGCTGAAAATTACCGAGCCTTTTTGTGTTCTCCTAGAATCAGAAACACGGTAAAAATTTTGTCATTATCTGGAAATTTTCTCCATACTTTTATTATCAGTGAGTAATGAAATATTATTTTAATGCTTTTGTAAATATTAAAACATACTTTAATTGTTAAATTTTTAGTATTAAAAACAACTCAGTGTAAATAATTGATTTTTTTGTAATGATGAGCAAAATAATTAGGATGCTTTAAAACATCTTTTATAACACACTTCTGTAAAACTACAAAAAAATATATACAACTATCATTATGTAACATAAATTCAAAATAATTCCTAAGCCACTTTATTATACATCAAAATGGAAAAAAAACGAATAATCAAACTTAAATTTAAATCTTAAACATGAATAAAACTAAAAAATTTTTAAAAAAATTCATTAAATTTATGAAAAATATATATATATAAAGCAAACAAATAATGAACTATAACTAGCCGTTAGTTTAGTATTTATAAGTTTTATACATACATATATATTTTTAAAAGTAATTAGTTTTTATTATTAGTTTTATGCGTTTCATAATAATTTTAATATCTTTAACACCAGTTTTAAATTTTAAAAAAATAATGAAGTAAATTATCCAAATAAATTATCCAGAATTAATTAATATTTATTGCTAACAAAAATAAATCCCAATTAATTATATACTTTGTTCATTGCTATTACATAATAGTGATGACTAAATTATGTATAAGTTTGATAGCTATGGAACAACATTTTAACTAGATGCGCTCTTTTTTTAATTATATAAATGACTTTGAACTTTGTATATTTATTTTTGACTTGTCCTAAACAAAGTTTTATAAAGGCTATCACGGAAAATGTCTGTTATAAAATCCATTATAAAGGAAGGAGTGCTGGATCGTTGTAAGAGGGGAGAGAATAGTGTCCCAAAGATTCGCATTTTTTGAGCTATAGGATTCGGCGCTCACCAGCAATTAAGAAAAAGAAATAATAATTTTTTTTTTTCCAAACTGGAATTTTTTTTAAATTTATTTTTAGTATTGAAAAAAAAAATTCTTCAATCATGTGCATTAACCTTGGCTTGATGTTCTAGAGCAACGGTCGTCACATTTCTATTCATAGAAATAAAAATCATAGAATTTAAAAATTTAAAAAAAAATCAATTTAAAAATAAACATTAGAGAATATAATTCAAAATATATAATTTAAAATATATAATTTAAAAATAAATATTTTTGAGTGATTAATTAAACAGGGAACTGAAACCAGAAATTTCTTACTTTTAAAGATCTCGTACCTAATATATCATTAACAAAAACTATAACTATTTTCCAAAATTTTGAAATAAAATGAAATATAATAATTGAAGCTATTCTTGTTTAAGGAATAAAAATGGAAAAAAGAATAGATATTAGGGTTTCAAGGAATTAGGCGAAAATTAACGAGTTTTTAAATAAATCCATTTACCTTGAGACCCCTCAAAAAGAGAATACTTAAAAGTCCCTACAAAGTATTTTCCCCAGAAGCTCGCCAAGTATACCATATGCTCGCCATAGTATGAAGCTCGCCATAGATAAGACATCTCAGTTCTCATTCTTTTGCTTTTTTATATGGCATAAAATATTGCTTTAAGAAAAAATAATCTTTAATTAGTTTTATAGCTAAATATCTTTTGTTAAGGAATTAACAACGATAACGCTTTCATTTAGAAATTGTTTCATTATTTAATAAATTGTTTCATTGCATTAAGCTAATCAACAAATATATCACACTTTCAGTAACTTCACAAAATAGTATTACTTCCGTGTTTTTATTTACGTGCAAATCCCACTATAATGACATTGAACTTATGGTTCGATACAGTTGGTTTGTTAAGAAACACGACTTCTAAAGTTATATTCCAATCTTGTTTTTCTGACTACTGCATTAATAAACTTCTCATCCAAATAATTAATATTTTGTTAATAATAATGTTTTATAGAACAGTTGTTATATTTATTGACGGTACCTTCTATATTTAAATTTAATACAGTTTTCAGTTGTTGCTTTTTTAATTATCTTGAAATAAAGATATTATTAGGTATTAAATCATAACAGCTATATAAATTTATTGACGACAACTTCATATCTATTTAAAGTTAATGTAGTTTTCAATGTTTAAAAAAGAAAATTTCATCCAATCAAAATATTACTAGGTATTGAATCATAAAAACTATATTATTAAAAAAAATTCTAATAAATTATTAATAAATAAAAATTCTAATAAAAGAATAAAAAATACTAATATTTTATGCATTCATATATAAATTTATGAGTAAAAAATTTTAATAGTGGCAAAAATTTCTTTCTACTACACGAAGAAAATAAATTTCTTAAAATAAGTTTGTCATTACTGTACTGTATGGTAATGACATTTCTAATGAAAAAAAGATCGATAAATAAAGCATTATTTTAACCAATAAATTAAATTAGATAAATTTGGTAATAAAAACCAAAATACACAGTATTTAAACCATTCATTCTGTAATTTTTCTGTTCACATAGTAACAGTTTACCGGAAATTTTGTTTTCAAAATTATAGTTCTTATTATCACACATTTTGTAAAAAATGCAAAACTAAAAAATAAATGTAGCCAAATAAATGGTTTTTATGCCGTGCTCTAAAGTATCATGACAAAAGTACAAGATTTCACTATATTTACCAGTTTTATTTTTTTTATAAAATCTTATTTTATTGTTAACTTTTCCAAAATCATTACGAACGTACTTCGGTAAAAACTGCTGCTCCCGTACAATCAGAAACATATTAAATTTTACCATATTCTGGTAATTTCGATCATACTTTTTTTTCACGGTGTAGTATCTAAAGTTTTTTTGATAGCTTAAGGCTTAAATTTCTAAAATTTCAATTCCTAAATCAGATAGCAAATTATCAAACGATATTTTTTATGATCATTCAGAAAATCATTATTATGCAGATAATCAGAATCAAATTTAAAATCAATATTTTCATTACACCTAATAAATCATAATTTTAAGTTCTCTTTCTTCGCATTAACTTAAATTAGAATTTTTAAATACTCTTTTAATAGTTTCTTACCAATCTATAAACTGTTTATTTCTTCAAAAGTTCTTTAATATTACTTAAAATGTAAGTTCATTATTGTTGCAAGCGTGTACAGCGTAATCCAAATTCCATCTTAAACAGAATGCAATCAATTGATTTGTAGTAACTCCACTTAAATACGATCAGGCGTCATAATGAGTCAGTTCCTCAACAGGCAATAAACTGTTCAGACGATAATATTTATTCATCAGCAAACTGAAAAGTTTAATCGGTTTTCGTCCAAACGATCAATCTACATTCAGTAAAAATGTTCCTTTAAGTTGTAAAAATCGTGAATTGTGTTTTATTATTCCTTAAGAGTTTAAATTTTTATTGTAGTTTTATTTCATGAAAGAAATATTAAAAATGGTGATAAAGGAATTATTATTAATTAAAAAATAATGACGTCATGTGAAAATTATGGGCTGCATAAATCAAAAAACCAACAGTAGAACGATTTATATAGATATATGTAAACCGTTAAACGATAAACTTTTAAAAAGTTGAAGAAATTTGGAGCGGGTTGGTAAAGCTCCATGACGAGGAACAGAGCCATTCTCATTCACCTTTTTCGCTGTTATCTGATGCACCATTTTATTAAAACTATTACAGCTCGACCCATAATTCTGATAACATAAAAGATTCCGGTAAACGGAAGTAAGTTAAAATAAATATTGACGTAGGTGTTAGTTACTTGTCTCGAATAAAGATCGAAAATCATTTACCGTTACTCGAAACATTGTTAAACCTTTTTTATCAAACATGATTAACGGTTGCTTTTTATGGAACTAAAAATTTTTGTTTAACGTTAACATCAAAAACGTATTTTCATCCATTGTCGTTTCAGCACATTTTATTCATTTCTTTATTGTTTACATTTATTCGCTAGATAATACTTTGGCGATAATTTAAGGTACGTTTCTTTCAATATGTAACCTGGACTATTATAGTTATGTACTTCATTGTGATTATGTGTTCTACATTCTCAGATAAATGGATTCAACGTTGAACCAGTGCCTCCATATTTTGAACCTTTTCAGACAATATTTCGTCCAGCCTTTTGACTCATAATCAAACTTAGATAAAATATATTATAATATATAATAACGTATCATATAATATAATATATTATATCATATAATATCGTATCATATAATACATTATATAATATCGTATCATATATTATAACGTACCATAATATATAT